GGCGTGGGAAAAAGCTTGCTCCTAGGAATGAGGGTCCATTTCGTATAACACAGAAGCTATCTCCACTAACGTATTATTTGCAACATACAATAACACATAAAAAGATCGGACCGATTCATATTGAACGCTTGAAACAGTATTATAGTTTTTAACACATCCTTTAACAAGTATTCATCTGTCTCCTCATACTTTTAATACACACTTCACACATACGTTTTCTCATCCTCCAATTTTACAATAATCTTACCTTAAACTAACCTATAGGAATACTTACATAGGAAAAAGGAAAACAATCCATCAGATCAAAAGAAAAACGATGATGCTCATCAACTTAATCTCTACTAACTAACTGATTTTCTAGCCTTAAAAGAAATTTAAACCACTTACCATCTAATGGTTGACGATAATTTAATGCTAATCATAATGCTAATGATCATTAACGTCCATATTCATCAATAAATCGTTGTCGAGCGGCTAGAAGTATACACAGAAAAACAAATAATTAACTATGTGCGTTCTACATTATCTCTTTCGTATACCCATCACGTCCACCACAGAATCCGGGATATACCAATAGTCCACCATTTCTTCATCGCGTGGAGTATTCGGCTGTGGTATATCACAGGCAGGATAGGTCAACAGTATCCGGCGTGCCTCCTTCCCGTCCCCTATAAACGCGATACATAAGATAACTTACGTTCAAAAAAAAAGGGAAAAGAAAGCCTATTATAATATTCACCATATACATATTTTCGTTTTGCTTGACATCTGACCGGTTGCTGATACGTAGACGGTAGATCCGTCTGTACGGCGGTGGAGATTGTTCGCGCCCCTTCTACTCCTCTTGTGCAAGTCATTCCATCTGGTTGATCATTGCACACCAGTTTATCTCCCACCAACATCATCCCCGAAAAACGCCAATCCTTCTGTTCTTCTTCCTAGTTGTTTTCCATCCAATCCTTGTTCTTGAATACCAACCTCAACACCATTATCCCTCTCTAAACAATAACACATATCTTATACCTTGTATTTTTACTCGAACCACGTTGAACTAACCTCTTCCCAATCTTTCATCCCCACTACCTTCACCCCACGCCAAATACCCGTTACACGCACTCCCCCTCGACGACATTCCCGATACAAAAAATTATCTATAATACGATAACTTGAATAGAATATAAGGTGATGTCCACTTACTTGCTAAAAAAAAA